TGAACCTCTTGCCATCATCCACCATGTGAATCATGGAAGTCTGAGCCAACTGGTTATCTTTACTTTCAAGAAGTCTTGACTCTTCCTCAATTTGAAAGTGTTGAGCCAATTTCTCTAAAGTTAGATCTTCCTTTTGTGTTTCAGAGTTTTCTTAAAATCCTTCCAAGAAGATAGCAGTTTCTTTATTATATAGATTCATCCATGTTCATATTCTTTTGTTGAAAATGAATCAGAATATGTTGGATCTCATGGAATTGTTCTATAATGGGCTTTGTATCAATCATAGTAAAAGGCATGAAATTACTAACAAGAAATTTTTTACTCGTGACATCTTCAGTGAGGTACTTTGCCTGTAATATGTCCCACATTTATCTGCTACAATTGTACCAAACATGCTTAATCTGCTGGGTTTGCTCCCCCATTAGAAGCCACCATTTCCATTGTTTGCATAGACTTTACAACTAATTTTGGCGATAGTTAGGACAAAAGAAGTATATTCCATACGCCGATATTGGTTTGGTTTCGTAAAGGCAACTTCAAGCTGTACTGCGAATCGAGTCTATGACTTGGATGAAGCTAGGGTGAAATTAAGTGGAGGTCCTGTAGATATCTCCCACTTCTACGTGGGAGATGGTGTGTGTAAACACTTAGATGATGACTTGTGTTTTGACACGTCAGTGTGGAGCTTACACATGTTAACTTTTGAGGGGAACATGTGCAACTTAAGCAAAGCATCATATGGGATCATTAAGTTCATCCCAACACCACGGTGCATCACTGGGGGACTCCTCACTGTGATTGTTCATCACGATTATTGATGCTGTGGTATTCTTCTTCCAGCATGCCTTAACATATGGCGGTTTAGCCATAACTGCCCTACTCAAGTGCCTAAGCCAAGAGGCAAGGTTTAGGCATGCTAATGTGTTTGGCATGCACCGGAGGGTGGTTGTGGTTTGGAGGCTAGAGGTACAGACTTCACCTCAACACTATGAGCTGCCTTTGGTTACTGAACGATAGACGGCTCCCCATTGGGTTATAACGTATTCTAACAGAATTTTGGAATATCCAGAAAGCTTGTTACAGATCCACATGACCTACCTTCTATAAATAAAAGGCAATAATACCCCTTACATGGGAACATACAAGTTCTTGGTACATCACCCTCCGGAGGTGATCCCTAATCTGCAGAGGACTCTTAACTCCAAGCCCTTTGATTTAGGGTTCTGTTACTCTACTACCTCTCCTTCTCTTAGGTGGATTACTCTGGGATGTCCTTGGAGTTTGACATGTTTGACCACCGGGCTGTTGAAAGGGCTATCAATTGGTTAAGACAAGGTGAATGTGTTCCACCTTCAATTTGCTGATGACACATTTCTCTTTTGTGAAGCAGATTGCGATGAAATCTTGTGTATCAAAAGAATCCTAAGGTGCTTTGAAGTAGTTTGTGGGTTGAAGGTTAGTTACTCTAAGAGTATGGTCATTGGAGTGGGTGTGGAAGAGAACCTAATCAGTCAGTTTGCGGATGCACTAAATTGTACCAAAAAGGAGGCTCCATTTAAGTTCTTGGGTCTTCCTCTAGGTACCAGCTCCAGACTCAAGTCCACCTGGGATCCTGTGGTGAAGAGTTTTCAGTTGAGGCTTGCAAGCTGGAAGAGGAAACTTCTTTCATTTACGCTAGCTTTAATTAAGTCAGTGCTGTCTAATCTGTCCATGTTTAAAATGCCTGAAGGTGTGGCTAAGGTGTTGGATAAATTACAAGCATCTTTCTTGTGGGGTGGATCAGATTTGAAAAGAAGAAGAGTGCATTTGGTGAAGTGGAGTGAGGTAACCAAAGGAATGGATGTAGGAGGCCTTGGAATTAGAAGATTGAGAGATGTGAACTTGTGTCTCCTTGCCAAATGGTGGTGGAAATTTGGGGCACTGGACAATGTCTTATGGAAAAATGTTCTGTGTAGTAAGTACCATTATGCAAGTAGCAAGTGGTCTCCACTGCCTGAACCTCAGTCAATGGTTTCTAGAGTTTGGGCTGACATATTATCCGTGGCTTCAGTCAACCCACAACTCTTCAATTTCTTTCAATCAAGCTTATGTATTCACATAGATAATGGGAGAAGGAATCTGTTCTGGAGGGATAGGTGGTTTGGGAATGTCTGCTTGAAAGAGATGTTTCCAAGACTGTTCCTGCTGTCAGTGGAGAGAGAGGGAACTATGCTTGATTAATAGTAAGAGGGTCTTGTCAGGAGAGTGGAACTTTGCTTTTAGAAGACATTTGACGACCCCAACATGCATATCATTATTTCATTTATCTTATTATGTGGAATTTGAATGTTTAAATGTGTGTTATATGCTTGATTTGTATATGTCTGTTTGAATTATGGAATATCTGTTAGAATACCTATTGCAAATCAAAAATTGAAGGCTTAAATGAATTCAGAAACCAAAATTGACAAGTTTAATAGAGTAAATATTTAGAACTTTTTGAGAAGTTTAATAAAATTTGATTCAGATTAAAAATTTATTTGAAATAATCAATTAGAATTAAACTAGAATTAACATTAAGCTTGCTTAATTAGTCTAATCTAATCTTATGTATATATATGAGCTAATGAGAGTTGGAACTCATTTTTCTATATCTTGAGCTGAGATTTTAGAGAGAGTGAGATCAAAACTCTAGAGAGAGAGAGAGAAGAAGAATTGTGAAGAGAAGAAGAGGAATTGAAGAAATTTGTGAAGTAGAACTCTAAATTCAAGCTCTAGGTACGCATTTAACCTCTAACACTTGAATTCAATTCAACTAAGAAGCGTATTCATGATGAAAGTTTAAGTTTAATGTTAACGTCGCTATGGAATGTTGAATGAGATTTAAGCTTCTTATGAAGATTACCATATAGGCACAACTCAATGGACTTGTTTATTTATTGTCATTGCTTCCGCCAAGCCCCATAATTTATGAAATGATTTGGTTTTGTCATTGAGGCTGTAGGTAATCTATGATTACCGGCCGGTCATGACCTAGACCTCTAGGGGCGAGTTCAGGTCGTGACATTTGTTCACCTGGGATATGGAAGAAGTTACTCCATTAAATCAGATGCTCCTCTTTGCTCATGTTCTCCACTTGACTGAAGAAGATAGACTGGTTTGGAATGCTGATCCATCAGGTATGTTTTCTGTTAAGTATGCTAATGGATGGCTTACCTTGAGTTATGGTCCTATGGTCAAATTACCTGATTTAATCTGGAAGAGCATTTCTCCTCCTAAGATGCAATTTATCAGTTGGTTGGCTTGGAAAGTGCAATTAAAAACATCTGCCTTTCTACAGAATATTGGGGTGTTGGATCAAAATGCTTGTACTTTATGCATATTCTGCAGGTCTGAAATTGAGACAGGGGACCATGTGTTACTGCAGTGTGGTTTTGTCTGGAAAATTTGGTCAGAAATACTGTTATGGTGTGGTGTTCAATGGCCCTTACCTGGCTCCATTAGTATTTTATTGAATTGTTGGAATGGGGTCAAGTTTAAGGGAATGGAAAAGCTGATTTGGGAAGCAGTTCCATCAACTATAATGTGGAATGTGTGGAAAGCTAGAAATGTTTGTAAGATTGAAGGGAAGAATGTTAATTGGGAAAGCTTGAGTGAATCGATCAAAGTAACTATAGCTCTATGGGGGAAGAAAGGTCTTGCCTACTCTGAAAGTCAATGACATAGTCTACAGATTGGAGTCCAGGAGATGCTGAGACACAAACAGTGTGAAGACTCAAACATGAACAAGTTAAAATATACATTTCAGCGTAAAAGAGATGACACCATCATTTTTCCATCCATCTGAGACGAAAAGGGCCCAATTGTTATGTGAAATAAAACTTAAGGGAGTCCAATATAATTATGTCAAACATGTGGGACTAACTGTATTTTTTCCAAATCTCATGGAAGGTTAGTGTAATTTACCCCATTTTTAACTATTAAGAATATCATCTTAAATTTTTCATGCTAATGTATTATTAGTTCATTACTTTCAGACAAGCAAGCAGACCTTTGGCAGCTAGTACTAGTATTGACCTTTCAGTTATTTTGCTATATAGTCCATAGTTATTCACAATATTCCAGGAGCTCATCAGTTTTTTTGGACAGTTAGCTGACAGTTATATGTTGCCCCACAACCTAAAACTAATTACCCATCTTATAACAAGAAAGCAGTTTCTAAAATATGTACCACCATAGTAAATTTTATTGAATATCTTCATGCAATTTCCATTGTTCTCCTTACGTGATGTATGCAATAAATACTAGTTGCATCTGATTTGGTGTTGGGTTATATTTCACACTATCATACATTCATTTTTTTAGATTAAGGTTCTAAAATTTGCAACAGTCACTGTGTCAAGATCAAAAAGTATAGGTACGCTCTAAACCATGTACTTATTTATAATAAGAATAACTCAGATGAAAGTGATGTAGGACGAGTAGGGATTACTTTCCTACAAGTAGTGAGCCCAGTTTAAGTATACTGGCAGCAGCAACAATAGACTTATAAGGCTGGATTTGGTGGGATTTTGTGGCTGCAAAAGTATTTAAAAATATAGGGGTGCAAGGGTTTATAAAAGGATAGGGTTTTGGGAATGAAAACACGAGTGTAGGGGCTGGCAGGTGTAGAGTTTCTATAAATTCAGTTGATTAAAACTTGCTTTGGTCTCTTCTCCTCTGGAAACCAAACCAATAGTTACATTTATGTACAATTAAGAACCAAAGCCTTGCCCAATACCCAACCCCTCCCAAAGAATATATATATATATATATAGATGGAGAGATCAAAATCATTTTCTTTTCCTTCTCCTGGAAACTATGCAAATTAGAACAACCAGATTAACCTCATGCAATACAATAACCATATGTCAACATGGGCAAACAAACAATTTTGCTTATATTCAATGTGAGAGTGAGTTACTGGTAGTTCAAAGAAAGAAAAAATATATCACCAGAAGGCGCCCAAAGGAAAAAAGAAAAGAACAAGAGCAAGAAAAAAAAGAAAGAGTTACAAATTTACAATGTCTTCCCAACCTAAACACTACATTTTAGTTGGTAGTATAATTTACAAGAAACCTAAATAAATGAATTGTAATGTCGTAGAAGAAGTTTGCAGAACTCAATCAGGTAGGTAGCAACTGCAGTATGTATGGTTGGTGTATTCACATTATCTATAATAAATCTGAATTCTCATTTATGTGTTGTACAGGTAGGAAGTTTACAGTCGCTGGATTTTTGAATGAATAGAAAACTGATGACTGCCTTACACCATCAACTGGAACTGAACTGAGCTGAGCAATAATAACAACGGTGTATTAGTTGTTATGATATGATATGATATCATAACATATCAACTCGGAAGAACCATGGAAGTATAAAGGCCAGTACGAGGCATGCTAGTAGGAAGTTGCAGAAGGAAGGCCTACAACGACGTGAACCCTCTCTGCTCAATGATGAAGATGAAGGGTTTGCAGCACTACTGCGCATACCCATCAACCTCATTTCGTTCCACTCCATAACTATTCTTGTGTCCTGAATTCCAGTTATGTTTTTTGCTGTCTTGCCACAAATCTCACATTGTCTGCACCAATAAGAAAACAAATGAAAACTATGTCTGAATTGAAACGAGAAATTTATTTTCTTTGCTGTTGGTGGGAAATTTTTAATGATTACTACTACTAGTTATTATATGCATTCAATTTTGTAGTCCATGAAAGAAGCTATTATTTGATGAAGAGCACTCTTAGATCTCAAATTTATACTGATAAAGTGAATTTGAAGATGCACATCACACACACACACACACATATAATTTATGATTTCCCTTCAGTACTTAGTCATCAGTTTAGAAGCTTTTGCCTGTGTCTATAAATTGATACAATGACCTCTGAGAATACATCCTCCATGTAATTGCAAATCTGGAAAGCATATCAATTGATTGAAGAGAAGGAAAATAGAAAGAGAGAGGGAGGGAGGGCTATAATGTGATGATAAAAAGGATTTAATCTTCTTCCTTCCAGGGTTTCTGTTTGGCTTATTTAATTTGATTTTGATTTTCAATTTTGTGGTGTGACTACGAGTATAAGGGGAAAAAAATGACATTCTCCAATTAAAATATATTATTGGTTTGAACTAAGAAGTGGTGGTGGATTATGAAAGAAAAACAAACAGAAATTGCACAATTCTGAAGCAATTTGGGAACAAGAACAGCCCAAGTTGTGAGAAGATGCAGTTTTTAAGTGCATTATGAAGAATTTAAAATATGAAAAGAAACAGAAGGATTGAGTTGTGTGAAAAAATGAGGAAAAGCAGGAAATGAGAATAATAAATACCTATTGCCTTTATGCTTAAACCAGGTCTGAGCACAATGAGGGTGGGAGACACCAAGTTCACCTTTGCATCCACAACCAAGCTGGATGAGGAGCTCTGAATTCTCCTCTGACAAACTCATGTGGCATATCCTGCAAACCTTTTCTGCTCTCAAACCTTCATCACTGTAGGATGATCCCGCACCACCATCGCCGCCACCACCGCACTTGACATCAATAATCACACAATCCTCCTTTTTCTCTGGTGGTGTCTGTATTTGTGTTTGCGTTTGTTCGTCTCCTCCTCCTCCCCCTGCTGCTGCCGACGTTGACACATGAGGAACGTCTGTTTTGTGGCTTGAATTGCTATCTTCTTGCCTTTCGATTTCATTGTCTTTCCTTGTGATTGCAATAGCAGCACTACTACTGGGTTTGGGTTGAACTCCACCGCTTTGTGAATTTATTGAACTTTGATTGTCTTGTTCCTTCTGTGTAACACCACCAATACTACTAGCCTCCCCCATATCCATTACTGACCCAACGATTAAATCTACCTTCAATTTCACCTTTTTTTCCTTTTGAAAATCAGCCAAAACATTTATTTACATTGAACGGCAATTTAAGGCATTTTTTTGATCATTCAACACTGATCCAAATATAAGGAGTACTATAAACTTGATCATCTATGCTTCAGAAAAATTTAAACATTTTTATACTACTAATATGAAATGCCACAAAAACAAACCAGAAGTTTCTTTAAGCAAGTCTTTCAACTCCATACTTTCCTTGGAAACTTCGTCTTCCAATGATGAAACAAAACAAAATGAAGTTGTTTGTTAATGTGAAAGATTTATAGAAAAAAATGGTTGACTATACATGAATATTGAGGAGAGGAGGTTTTCCTGGGTTAGGTGACTAAGATAAGTATTTGATTATTAGTATTTATTAAAAAGGTTGAGAGCATATGAATGATAAGTTGATTGGCAAAGAATTTCAGATTGCTTTGATTGGAAGGCAAGTGAAGAACTGCACCAAATCTGAATTCCCAGTTTGTGTCTGTCCCAGACTCCAAATGGCCATAACACCCTCCCCTCCATGCTATATATATATATATGTATATCAGTTTCAGTGCTGGCAGTGCCTTCTTGTTCACCTGGCCAAAACCCATGCTTTTTCTCCTCTGAAGAGATTTGAAATTTAACAAACATTAACATTTTAACTGAAAATCAGTTTTGTTTTTCATAAATCTACTGAGTTTGAATTTGCCACTTTTACATTGTTCTATAATTCTTACTGCAACTAGGCTTCGTTTGGGAAGTGGATCGACTTTTTGGGTTTTTGACTTTTTTTGATTATTTTAGCCTGGGCTAAAAAGCTTGGTTTGGGAAGGACTTTTGGCTTTTTTGATTTTTTTGTGAGAGAAAGAATGTAATGATTATGGGTTGAATGTGATATTTTGTTTTATTGAACTAAAAAATCTAGTTTGTTTTTTGTGATTATTTTAGCCAAAAATGCCACAAAACCTTCTTTCCAAACATAGGCTATGTAGACTATGTATGTATGTGTACACTCACCAAGTTGCACCTTCCTAACAGTCTCTTTAGATGGATGGATTTTAGATGGATGGATTTCAAATAAATATAGATTTGTGGTTAAATGTTACAAAAGTCAATGAGAAATTAGATGGATGGATTTCAAATAAATATAGATTTGTGGTTAAATGTTACAAAAGTCAATGAGAAGTTAGATGGATGGATTTTAGATGGATGGATTTCAAATAAATATAGATTTGTGGTTAAATGTTACAAAAGTCAATGAGAAATTTAAGTGAAAGCTATTTTACTAGGTTCTTTCAAGGATTAAAATAATTACTTTTACATTATTTTTTTAAATCTGTAAAACTTTCAAATTCAATATTGAAATCTATATCTAAACTATTAAATCTATGACCTGACTTCTCTCCAGTTGGAGAGAATTTCAATTTGGTCTAGTTGTGCATAAGGACCTCAGTACAAATTTTATTTTAATGATCCAAATCGTTTATCTTATAAATCCTTGAGTGCAGATAATTTATGGAAAAAATCAAATCGATCTAGTAATCGTATAATTTTATCAAATTTGTCTTTTAAAAAAATGAAAGATTATTTTTAAAACTGTACTTACCAACTTTTTTTAATTTTTATGGTTCTTCTGCAATACTCCCCTAAAAGGGATGTACCATATTTGATGCGCTAATTATCGTGCATATTCTATATCTTTATTTTATATTTTGTTAGATTTAATTTATATGATATATCTTATTATGTTTATTTTCATGTTTTTAGGTATTTTGAAATTTTAATGAAGAAATGTTTTAAGGAACTTGGAATCTGCACGGAAAAGAGATTAAAAAATTAGGGAATGGCTTTTGTCCAGTGTTTAATCAGATTGGACTGTATTGTTGGATCAGTGGAAATCCATCACGGGTCTCGTTTTGATAATCTGAACCGTTAATGTGTAGAATTCGTCGAGTACTATATGCCTATAAAAAATCACATTGATTGGATATCGATAGCTATGTGATCAAAATAGATTTTTGTCAACCGTTAATTTATTCACCGTCCATTTTTTTTAATATAAAACTGATTTGATCACATAACTATCGATATCCGATTAATGTGATTTTTTATAAGTCTATAGTACTCGATGAGTTCTACACATTCAATGGTTCAGATTATTAAAACGAGATCTGTGGTGGGCCCCCACCAGTTCAATAGTACGATCCAGTTCGATTAAGGACTGGACATAAGCCATGCCCAAAAAATTAAATGGGATCAATTATGACACAACGAGATATTTAGCCTAGTTGGTAGTTTGGTGATTTCATTGTTGAGATTCTTACATCTTGTATGGAAACATGTTATTTTAATAAGTTTTTAATTTTTTAGTTAAAATATGAGATAAAAAAAGTTGTATATTTAGAATAATTTTTTAATTTTTTATGAAAAGATGTATAAAAAGTAAAGAGAAAAATAAATCTTTAATTTTTTAGTATAACTTATTGGTTTTTTAATTTTTTAAGTAACTTTTTAACTATTAAATTAAAACTACTCCCCAAACGAGGCCTTAGTTCAGGCCATGCAAGCAACACTAATTCTATATTTTTATCAAATTTGGCACAATCCAATGTATCAAAGTACCAGACAGGAAAGAGTCTTCCAAATGAATAAAAGGATGACACGTGTCCTGCAATTATATAAATAATAAATAATAATAAAAATTGCAGATTTATGGTGCTAACATTAGTATAACTTATAGGTTTTTTAATTTTTTAAGTAACTTTTTAACTATTAAATTAAAACTACTCCCCAAACGAGGCCTTAGTTCAGGCCCTGCAAGCAACACTAATTCTATATTTTTATCAAATTTGGCACAATCCAATGTATCAAAGTACCAGACAGGAAAGAGTTTATTTATTGGGTAAATTATAAATACACCTTCTGAGATTTACTTAAAATACAGATTATTTTATGTGATTTGAAAAATTACAAATACCCTTCTGTTAGAATTTTTTATTTAACAGAATTAATTAAAAAAATGAAATTTATAATTGCTCTCGTATACAATAATAAAATTATCTAAATTATTAATTGAAACGTATTTCTAACATCATTAAAAACTGTTAATTGATTCGATGATTTATTAACAAAAGAGGCGATTTGTTATGAAATTAGACACCTCAAGGGATGAAGTACATTTTCTAGAACCACAGGGGCAATTAGTATTTTAACCAAATTTCAGGGGGTGTATTTGTAATTTACCCTTATTTATTTAGGATAAATTACACTGACACCCCCGAGGTTTTTATTTAATACAGATCCCCTTTCACATTTAAAAAATTACATTTTCCTCCATGAGGTTTGTAATCTTATTACAAATTGCTAATGTCATACTCTAAATTTTTTTAAATGATCATCTTATCATTTTTCCTACTATTTCTTCTTCTTATCATTATAACTACATTCTACAACTTTCTACTACCTGAACATATTCTTATTGAGTGATGATACATAAATATAAATTTTATATAGATTTTTCAAACACAGTGATATAATTTAATGATGACCTTCATTTTAAAACAAACACCTATAAACATGATTTATATTTACAACAATATCACTATCACAACATTTTTATGATATTTTTTGTATAAATTTTTATGTATGAATATAATTTTTTATTTTTATTTCCACCATTATACTAGATTAGATCAATTTAATTTAGATATATTTAAATAGTATAAAATTTATACAATTTTTTTTTAAAAAAAAAATCTATTGAATACAACAAAATAAGATAATATATTAAAATTTTATATTTTTGTAGTTTTATATATATATATATATATATGGTGAATTTTTAAAAAAATATAAAATATTATACTTCTTAAGTATATCTAGATTAGATATATCTAAAAATATTAAAAAAATTCAGTAAAAATAATATAAACACGAAAAATAAAAAAAATTCAATTTTTTGTGTGATTTAAACCAAAGAAGATGATTGTTATTTTCCTTGAAATGATATGAATAAAATATCTGTATTGTTTTATTATTTTATATGTATAAAGGTTAATGAGTAAATATGTTATTTTAATATGACAGGAAATAAGTGTAATTTTTCAAATGTGAGGAGGATCTGTATTAAATAAAAATCTCAAGGGGTGTCAGGGCAATTTACCCATTTATTTATAAATTGTATTTTTTTATTTAATAATAGTTTACTAACTTTTTTCTTTTAATATACTAGTTGGACCGGGTGAGGTTGGATTACAATTTCAATTATTTTGTTTTTATTTTTATATAAGACAGTGGTCTTTAAGTAATTTTGACATTAATATTTTGTAAAATATTATGCATAATATGTCACAACATACTGGGAAATTCTATTTCCACACACCATGTTGTCTCTATATACATCATTTCTCATTCCACTCACTTAATAATTTGATTTTTAGATATTTATTTCAGTCCACACGCCCCACATTCCAAATATACCCATTTAATAAAAAATATATGCACACTCTTATCTTCTTCATCTTTCAAACTCTAATCCTAACCAATAACCACCTTAACCAACAACCACCTTATTGGCAGTGACACAGCACCACTGTTACCAGGTCAGGTGCCAATTCTGCTTCAAAGTTGTTATTTGTAAACTTGGCTTGTTTGCCTGTCATATGTACAACTGCTAGTAACTGTGTGTACATGGCATTGTCAAACGTCGCTTGTGCTTGCTCATATAATGCTCCTGTCAAAAAATTTAAGTTCCAAATAAAAACAATTATGCTTCTTGCTTAAAATATAGTTCCCTTACTAGAAGAAAGAAAAAACAAAATCAGTAAATATCCATGTAGAGGTGGTGGGTGTTGGTGGGTAGTGGTCGGTGATGGCTACTGGTAATGGATAGTGGCTAGGGTTTTGATTGAGGGTTAGGGTTTTGATTAAAGGAGATAGGGGCATTTTGGTAGTTTCATTTTAGGACAAAAATGTAATAAAAAAAAATTCGTTAAGTGTGTTGATAGAGAGTAAGTGGTCTGTGGAAATAGAATTTCCCCAACATGCTGTCCTGTGCACTTTGGTGAACCAAAACCTTATAATTTTTTAGCTCGACCACTCAGGGAACTACTGGCCAGCGAATGGCTGGCAGGCCATTTTTAGAGGGCCAGCCGTACCCCTTCATCGCCGGTCGGCCATGATTAGCGCAAGAAGATATTTTGACAGCTGGCACCTGCTCCCATGCACATGCCTTGGGCCAGCTGTCTCTTTGTTAATATTTCCAACGTGAGGAGTTGTTTTTCTATAAATACAAGATCTCCTCTCATGGTTTGGGGTTAGAAAATTTTGCTAAAAGCCATAACTTGTTCAACACGCTTCCCTCAT